TATATATATATATATATATATATATATATATATATATATATATATATATATATATATATATATATATATATATATATATATATATATATATATATATATATATATATATATATATATATATATATATAGATCTTTCATTTCATGTTGCTATTATTCAATAAAAAAATGAAATTTTGGGCTAAATTAGTTTTTTTTTTCTTTTCTTCTGCTGCTTGCAGCTACAACAACGACTAAACTCAGTGCCTTCAGAGGATGGAGACAAAAGAGGAGAAGATTCATGACATACGAAAGATAAGTTTTCGTATTGTAAAATGGCAGCACCTTGTAAAAAGAATCAGGTGAGTAACTTCACATGATATAATATACGATATTAATTCATTAATGTTCTACTGTAATTTTTATGCCTCCAATACTATTTCAATTTGCAGGGTGAAAAATGCAGGAGCAAGTGTAGGATATTGTTCGTGTATCTGGGATTGTGCATTTAAGTTAAGCTGTTGAATAAGAACCCTTCTAGAAGATTCCATCCAGCCTTTGTTCAACCACAAATAAGAAAAATAATCAGCCGAAGAAGGTATTCAGTTCGTTCATTTATTTCGTCGGTGCAAATTGGAGAATTAGGTCCTTTGTGTAGATGGTGCTGTGATCTCGATTCAATGTGAATTATTTCTTTTTTTGCCTGAACCCCCATCTCTGCGAGTGAGAAAACCACCCGGGACCTTTTTTTTTTTTTTTTTTTAATATATTGTATTATTGTGTAGATTATATATATATGTATGTTGTAGCCGGAATACTATAATATGATTTGTAATTCTGTGAATATGTAACATTATATTGCTGGTATGGCTGTTGATATGGTCTGCTGACCTGGACATTGCGTGGTGGGGTGTTCTTGCACCATTTTAATTGCCTGATATATATTGTTTGTCGCACTTGGGCAATAAAACATCGTCGTTATGTACGTTTTGAGGAAGGAAAATGAGATACGAGGGTAAGAAGAAAAACCAGGAGGTTTATTCTAGTATTTGCCTAGAATAATTGTGTGTGTGTGTGTGTGTGTGTGTGTCTTCATTTTTATTTCCTAATAAAGCCCGGGATGAAGGGTTTTGTAGATGCTACATCCGGTGAAATACACCGGGTGATCCTGCACCGTATTACGAGTTAGTTTTACTTCACGTCTTATGATTTATTGTCGTCTTATCAACCATCATTCGTTCAAAACCAGTTTTATCGTAGTCTATCTCTATCCTCTTAGAAAAAAAATCATTTCCACTTTAAGTTGCTGTGATGAATTTAAAATCCTTTCTTTAGATCATGAAAATGTTTGATCTACATCAAAATGATTTAAGTATAAAAAATCAACATTATTCTTCTCAATAATCACCACAAAAATCAATTTTAAAACATTAGTGTAATTGGAAGGAGTGAAAAGCCACAAATTATTATTGCCTCATTGTGATTTTATTTGTCGGTTTAGAGATTTTTTTTTAATTTAAATTGTCACTTTATAATTCTAATGAAACATTTATTATATTTTTCTCAATTATATACTTGCCGCTCAAATTAATGGTGAAATGATGAATTTCACTTGTAGAAAGTATTTAGGATAACAAGAGATTAGTAATTAATTATGTTATTAAATGGCAAATGGTGGGCATCTAAACAAAATTATGCAATATTTTAATGTTAAAAAAATCTAAAACCTAAAACCAAAAGCATCTCTTTCACATGGGCACTCTTTCCAAACCTCCCAATCCTCGAGAGTTAAGAGAAAAATAATAAGTTGTTGAAAAGTAATTAGCAAGCGCAAAGTAGCTAGAGACCTCCGATCACCACCACCTCCGGCGCAAGTTAGATGCCACCACCGTTCAACTATTTTCAATGATCCCTCTCGGCCTCACTTCTTCACCATCATCATCTTCACTCTCACTAAAACCCTGTTTTTTGCCCTCCCTCAGACCTATACGTACAAGATATAACCAACTCAAAAAACTCAAACAGGTATTTTCACACACACACGCGCACATGAAATTTATATATATGTAAATATAGGTTGTGGAATTTATTTTTGAAAATCTGGTGATTCCTTTTTTGGTGTTTTTGTGTTTGGTTTGAATTACAGAGGAAGTTGAGGGATGGCAAGTGCAGGGCGGAATTCTCGGCCGACGCGCCGGTGGCTGCGGCAATCGGCGCGTGCATACTCAACTCGCTGATTTTTCCGATGGCTCCTTCGCCGGAGGACATGGAGGCTGAATCCTTGATTGATTCCGCCGACGCGAGGTTTGCCGTTATGGGAATCATCAGCTTCATTCCTTATTTCAATTGGATGGTAATATACTTGTATATATTTCATTTCAATTTAGGGATTTCATTTAGGTTTTTCCGATTTATCCAGTTATAATTTATTTACTTAATTTAAAAGCATATATCTTTGTTTTCGTATAGAGTTGGGTGTTTGCTTGGATGGATACCGGAAGGCGGCGTTATGCTGTTTATGCTATTGTCTACTTAGCTCCTTACTTGAGGTTTGATTCTCCATAGTTTCACTCTCTGTTTTTTCTTTTTCTTTTTTTCATTTTAAAAATTCAATGGGGCTAATGTCAAGATGAGAATGGGAATTAGTATGAGCAGTAGTACAGCAATCGAAAGAATCCCTCTTCGACGAAGTTTTGGAAAATTGAAGTTATATTGATTAAACTATAAAAGTTGTAATCGATTAACGAGTATTGGGATTAGAGATAATTGCAGATTTATCCTACATGATTATAATTTCTAACTTGCTTAAACGAGGCTGTTTATGTGATTAAAATTTGGGCCGAACGCAAATATTTAAACCTCTATTGTACTTGCTGTTTATGATGCTTATTACGAGTTAAGTTGTAGTCCCATGGATACTCTTTTTATTATCACCATTCGATTTATTCATACACGGGCTGAAGTAGGAATCATGTTGTCATATATTAGGACAAATCTATCAATATCTCCCGAGGAGAGTTGGCTGCCAGTTGCTAGCATTCTCCTTTGCATCGCTCACATTCAGGTGGGGAGAAGTTTTTTTTATTCTTGGATAAAATTAATTTCTCAGGATTAGTGTTAGAAATCTTGATTTAATTTTCTCTTCATTTGGCAGATAGAAGCAAGTATAAAAAACGGAGATATTCAGGGCTTCCAAGTGTTTAACAGTTTTGCAAATCTTCTGTCGTTGAAGAAGAATACTAGAGTTTCCAAAGAGGTACTTCACCATCCGAAACGATGACTGAAATAAATATATATATATATATATATATATATATATATATATATATATATATATATATATATATATATACATAAGCCCGTTGAAGATTTAATTTAGTTGGGAAAATAATATTTGACAGAGTGAGGAAAGAAAAGATTACGAGAATTTGCCATCTGGGCGCGGACATTACAAAAATGAGATACAGGATTGGGCTGCTCCTAAACAAGATGGTGAAATCTTGAATGAAGATGAAGAGAAAAACGGAGGTGCTAAGCGTTAACCGAGACTCTAAAAGTGATAGAAATGCAAAGGGTGTTGATCAGAAATATGCGCATTTGATTGAAAATCGTTCGTGTACTGGGCGAACAAGCACAGAGTGCACAAGTAATGGTATGTAGACAAAAATATTTTGCTCTGATCCGTGAACAATGAGTTATGAGATTGACTATTCGCCTCCCATTTGAATGTCGATTATAGCGCAAGTTTTAGTTTCAGATCTCTAATGTGTTGTTGGTGAAGTGATTTTTCAAATTTTTGTGTTTACAAAAGAAATAAACCCAACAGGAGAAGGGAAAATGAAGTCCATCTGATCTCATTTAGTTCGACCTTGCGAAATCCGTTGCAAGTTATGATATTTTTATACATGTCCAGAGGATCTTTGTTAAATTTTTATTTTATTATTTATTTTATTTTATTTTTTTCTTCAACAAAATAACTATTCGAAGTTACCATTTTCAAAAGGAACTCCACCCCCAACATCAAAAGGGACACCAAAAGCGACTGGGGTGGGTGATTTGAGAGCTCCAATGGAGTTATGTTTAGGCATCTATTTTTGTGTGATATGGGTTCAACTAATCTTCATTTTAATTAATTTTATAGAAATAATTTTTTTTTAACCTTTTTTTTTTTATATTATTTTGGAGCTACCAGGTTTTAGTATGATGAGTAATCTCTCAGTAGAAACACTTCGTTAAATATCTGCTCGCCAGACGTGGAGTTGGAAATCGGATGGATTTGATCAAAAACTTATGAATAACTCCAATGTTTTAGTCCATAATGTTCTTTGGAAAAAAATTGGAAATTAGAATTTCGTAAATCAAAATAATAAAATCGGAACAAACAAAATTTGGAATTTCCATTTTTCAGTCACTTGTAATATAAAGTATATAATAAAACTGACATTATGAGTGTAATTTCCACATACTGAAATCGGCAGAGAAATTGAAATCTAATATATATTCCAAATACGTCCTTAAAAATTAAAAAAAAATTAAATCAACGTACGAACTTTCAAAAAGAATATTATAAAAAAATAAAAATCGAATCGTAATCGACAAAATTCGAAAATTTGGCATGAATTTCCAACTCTAGCTTAGTCATAACAAATTGTTGAACACTTGGCTAATTTTAGTGTTTGCGCTACTACTAAAAAACTTATCCCCATTTCGTTCCAAAGAAGAAGCTCACCCAGTTTCAGCAATGGCGTCTTTCTCTATCTCCTCATCTTCTTCCTTCTCCACTCTCAGAAAATCCCTTCACCCTCTTAATCTCAATCCCATCTCCGAAACCCCTTTCTCTTCATCATCCTCAATCCTCCGATCCAAAACCCTAACCCTACCACCGCTATCCCCAAATCTCAAAACCCTAAAGTATTCACCCCCGCACTCCACCACCTCCACCACCGTCGCCGCCGCCACCTCCTCCCCGCAATCGCTCAAATCCCGCCTCAAGAGCGGCGAAACCCTCTACGGCATCTTCCTCCTCACCTTCTCCCCAACAATCGCCGAGATAGCCGGTCTCGCGGGGTACGACTTCGCCGTGGTGGACATGGAGCACGGCCACGGCGGGATATCCGACGCCCTCCACTGCCTCCACGCCCTCGCCGCCACCAACACCGCCGCCATCCTCCGCCTCCCGGAGTCCTCCGCCACCTGGGCCAAAAAAGCCCTAGATCTCGGGCCGCAGGGAATCATGTTCCCCATGATCGACAGCACCAAATCCGCGAAGAAAGCCGTCTCCTACTGCCGGTTCCCACCCGCCGGCGTCCGCGGCTCCGCCCACACGATCGTCCGCGCGTCGGGATACGGCACCGACGAGGGGTATTTGAGTCATTACGAAGAGGAGCTGCTGATCATGTGCCAGGTGGAGTCCGAGGAAGGCGTGACGAAAATCGACGAGATCTCCGACGTCGATGGGGTCGACTGCATACAAATGGGGCCGTTGGATCTGAGCGCCAGCATGGGGTACTTGTGGGACCCAGGGACTAA